CGGACCACGGCTTTGCTAACTTATGTAACTGGGGGCCTAAGCACTTTGCTGGGTGCTTTGTGTAGCCAAATGTTCCTTACACTTGCTACCACCTAATTGGTCAACACTAGGCTTACCCCCAAGTCCGACTTTGCTACTCTTGGTCTGTTCTTGGAATGTCCTTGTTCCACTCTGGCAAGGCTAACTTATAACATGCTCTCACTGAACCGCCTCCTTCAGCCTCGCGTTCAACGTCCATCTTGATCAACAGAACTCGTTCATATAGTCCGTTGAATTCGAACCATTCAGCCGGGATTCCGAGTACCAGAACAGTCCCATCCGTCGCCTGCCATGTCCTTTCGTCCGCTTCTCGCTGTTCTCCTTGAGAATGGCTCAAGTAAGCCAATTTGAATGCTTCCGGACGAGTGCAACACCGACCATTGCCGTGTTGCTTGCAAACAATATGTTGTAAATGACCATGGCTTACAAATAGGAAAAGGTAAATAGAAACTTAGAGGGACAGAGCCGTCTATATATTGAGTGAAATCGCCATGTCGTTGTTGACGGAAACCATCAATCAGCGACCTCAGCAATATCTCATCAATACCACATCTGACGAGAACAGACACCACAGAACACAGCTGCTGAAACATCATCAAGGTTAAAATGCCATCTTATCTCGTGACAGGCGCCAACCGTGGCCTTGGGGTAAGCCCGCCACCGACGCATTCAACCAAGCTCTGCTAATTCTCTACAGTATGGGTTCGTGAAGTTTCTGGCCAAAAATCCAGAAAATACAATTGTCGGCATTGTCCGAAATAAAGAAGCCGCAGACAAGTCGGTTGCTGCAGATGGCCTCAAGAACGTTACCATGATCCAGGCCGAAGTCGTCGATCTCAAGTCGCTGTTGGCGGCCAGAGAAAAAGTGGCACACATCACTGGCGGTTCCCTTGACTATCTAATCAACAATGCGGCCTATATCGACCACACAAGCCAGGGCAAAAGTCTCGATGACTTTGAAGACTCGCCCGAAGCTCTGGATAAAGCTCTCGTTGACTCGTTCAACGTCAATGTCGTGGGAGTGATCCACGTCATCAACGTCTTCCTTCCGCTCATCAAGAAGGGGACCCAAAAGAAAGTGGTCGTGATCTCCAGTGGGATGGCTGATCCCGACCTCGTCAACTCGGGGATCTCCACCGACGCGCCTTACACCATCAGCAAGGCTGCGGTAAACATGGCCATCTGCAAATACAATGCAAAGTACAAGAAGGAAGGTATTCTGTTCTTTGCGCTGTCGCCCGGCGTGGTCGCGACCTGGGAGGGAACACAGGAGCCTCCTTCAGTGATACAGGACCTCAGAAAGATGGTTCCAGATTGGCCAGGCCCTCTGACTCCTCTGGAGTCGGCCGAGGCCTGCGTAAAGGTGATGCACGATTTCAATGCGGAAGAACATGGTGGCTCTTTTGTGTCCCATCATGGCAACAAGCAGTGGTTGTGAGATGGGGGGAGAACATCCAGGTAGTCTGAACACTAACCGCAGCAGGTGGAGGAGTGCTACAGGGCATGCTGGCAACCACTAACCGGTTGATCTTCGGGAACAGGCCCCGACAATTTCACACAATTCGGGGTTCAAAGTAAATACATTTGGTATGAATAGAATATCCTGCAACTGCAGGTAATTCCTTGCGTGAGGCCAAAAATTACCCTTGAAAATGCCTGCGTGGCATAGGCAGTCAAATGTACCTCGTACCGTATGCAGCATTCTTCTAGCTGCTCCATCCCGCGTTCTCCCCACGATTTCCCTCACTCCTCGCTCCCTCTTTGCTGCTCACTAGACTGCTGCTCCTATCATAACCCCTCCTTGAGGTTCGACTCGTGGACGTGAACTCGGGGGGAGAAAATGCCTCACACAAGCCGCAAGAAAAACAATCCCCACAGCAACAAGAGGAGGGAAATCGTGGACCAAGATGGCTGGACGAGGATCACGACCAGCTCTTCGACGCCTCTGACGGTCGCGCCGCAGAATCAGACCCAGGGCGAGTCGGGCCAGGTCTCTACTTCGAGTGTCGCCGTAGGCGCATCCCTCCCGCTTCCAATGCCGGCCTCCCAGGGGTCCTCGCTGGAGGGTATGCGCGCGCAGTTTGCCAAGATCGAGACGAGATGGCAAGACACGGACCTATGCAGGAGCGTCGAGCAGATGCTGAGAGAAAGGATCCTGACTACTGGTGGCGGGGAATATCACATTGCCAACTGTGCTCTGTTCGGGACGGGCAGCTTCTGCGGCGACGCGGTCCACTGGGTCGACAGGCACGAGTCGGCATATTTCCAGCTGGCGGCTTTCCGGACCGTGGTCAGGACCATAGAACGACTGCAGGGCCATGTGCCGCAGGTTTATGCCCAGGAACCGTACTACAATGATCTCGACGTCCTCTTTCTCGCCAGCTTGGACGTCACGAAAGTTGACCACCCGAAAGGATTCGAGCTGCTTGATCGGAATTCGTTCGCCTACTCGCCGGCTGCGGAACAAGAGGTCGAGAGCCAGATTATATCCCGCGCTCCACGGATTTGGCTGCACAGGTCTTTCGACCACTCGCTTCAAGGCGACAGGGAGTCAATAAGCAAGTTCAAGAGGGACTATGAGCACGCAGTCCTGCCTGAGTTGGACCTCAAAAACTTCCCATTCCACGGATCTGTGATGTGGTGGCGCGGAAACGATGACACGTACGAGCAAGTCCAGACCGAGTGAGAAGGTCTATTACTTCATACCTGAACTACTTGATCTCTGCGCTTTTGGTAACTGTTCCAAAAGCATCGTTTAGCTCCTTCAATGTTGCTTCGGTCAACTCGGCACCGCCAAATCCAGGAATCTATCAAAAAGTTAGAACCTTGTATCGGTCTGTGGTAAAAAGGAGGTGCTATGTCACGAAGCACAAGTACAAGACCAAAGACATTGTCCTCCTCAGACACGTGTTTGGTCTTGCCGGCAAAGGGTTTCAAACGGTCAAGAGAGACTTACATCTCGATCGCCGATGGCGTCGCTGGCCAACACGACGTTGTATCCCAGGTCATTGCCTGCTCGGGCCGTGGTGCTCACACAAACATGTGCCATGTAGCCCGTCAGAACCGTCTTCTTCCCCCTCTCCCCTAGACTCGTCAAGTACTCATGCAAGTCCGTGCCGGTAAAGCTGGAGATGGCTTGTTTCTCGATCACCTTTTCTCCCGGCCGGGCTTTCAACTCGTCGAATTCCTCTGCCAGAGGGGTGTTGGGAGTGAATATTGGAGCGCCCTCTGGAGTCTTGTGGACGACGTGAACGATGTTTTTCCCATCTCCCGCAGCACGGTATTTCTCCAGCAGCGAGGCAATGGCCTTTCGCGTCTGATCGACGTTGACTGTCTTGAGGTTGCCTTGGGCGTACCTGAGCCAAAGTCAGGATCAGACAGGGAGAAGAACGCGAGCCGAGGATGTGTTTGAAGGGTATTTCGGTAGCAGCAATGGACTCTTCAGACATACTCATTCTGCGCATCAATGATGATCAACGTGCTGTCGCTTGGGGAGGCTGTGGCGGCCGGAGCGCCGAGCATCTCCCTGAGAGATTTGACCTGTGTCGCTGAGGCCATTGTGTTATGGTGATCTGTTGGTTTATGTGTAAAATGGATGTCCTCGGTCACCAAGTCTAGAGGTGGGAAGCGGCGTTGTGTTGCGGCTTAACGGGTGTTTATATACTACCTAGGTACGTATGTGTGTGTGAATTTGTCGTTCCTTCGTCGGTCAATCACATCATCGCTAACCCTTTCCCTTTCCGCTCCCAAACTCTTATTTGATTTTCTGGAGTCTTTTGGAAATCTATCCCCCTCCCCCCCTCCACGATCTTACTTACCACCACGCGAGAAAAGGAAGGAGGGGAGGGGGGATTTGCCCGCCTGCCCGGGACCCACGCTCGCTTGTACTCCGGGCACCAGGTACCCACTAAGCCACTCGACTTATTCGTCATTGTTTGGTCGTCTTCGTTGTCGGTAGAGAGCAGTTACTGGGTAACTAATTAGGTAAGAAGTTGGGCAGTGGTTCATGGACTTACATATGAAACTTAGAAATGAAGCCAGGGGACGAGTGACTTGGTGTTTACTCATCAGAAGAGATTCGTTGGTAGTAATTAGTAGTGAGGGTTCGTTCGATTCCTGTTCAGCGGTAAAAGGTCTTATTGGTTTCCCCCACAACTTCTGTGCAAGTGGCATTACTCATGCATATCTTCTCAGCAGGTCTCTTTGGTCCTGTTCCTAATAGACACCCAACCGGAGAACATTACCTTTCGAGGCTCTGTAGCAGAATTAATCTCTCCATATCGCCTATATCCTTTCCTCTAGTCGGCAAGCGAAGCCTGCTCTAACCTGAGCGATACACAATGCAGCACTCTTCAAGAGCCACACTACGCAGGTTAAGCTAGCCCCCAAACGACCACTTTCCCCTGCCTCTCAGCTACACACCAGTTTCAGATTGGTGCGCCATCGTTCGGGGATTTGGTCCTTTTCAACAGGGAGGATAGGCGCCAGAGAAGCGCCTCCTTGGCCTTTATGTACCTCGAACTCGTTAGCGCTTCGACGCTGAGAACTGCAGGACAGGGGATGATGGTTCTTCGAGACAGGAGATGGACACTTTCAAACAGCAAAAATAGCGAGTCCAGCCATTCAAGACACCTTGATGCCCCGGCCAGTGGATTGTGACCCAGGGACATGGCCGCCGATCTCGTCGCACCCAGCAAGGTGCCACTGTTAGACCTGGACGCTCCAAGACCTTGCTGCTGCCTGCGTTTTACTTCCTTGCCCAATTCCACAATCCTACATGGCCAAGTACCTGCGTATTCTGCCCTCATGTCCTCCATGATGCTTTCCTGTGTTCTACTGCATTTAGGCGTCGTTGGTTGCCTTGCTTTGTCTGCTCGCTCTTCAACACGCCTTTTGTCAATCAGTAGCCACTCAACGGTGGTTTTCCCCCACTGAGTTTTGTACGTGACAAGATCACAGCAATGGCAAGTCGCCTGAAGAATGTCCCGATGCTGACCTCAGTAAGTGCATTCCCTTGAATGTCGGCAGTGTTGGGACTGACCAAGTGCAGCCAGATCTATATTTTTTGAGCACCAATCTATGGCGAAGTTTCTTGAGCAAATTGTGCTTCATCCGACTACCAGATCCCTCTGTCATATTGCACTTGTTCACTTTGTTGGCCTCATCGCTCTTGATCGGACTTAATCTTTCGCAATTCTACATCGGCAAAGAGCTTCAGGGCAATATCAATCAGGATGGCACGAAGATGTTGGCATTGCAAATCACGGCAAAAGTCCACGAGCTGCTCATGCTTGCTTCTCTCGGCAATATCCTCTGGTCATTTGTGCTGGACCACCTTGTCGCGTCCTCTGGCCTTCCACTTTGCACTCTCTCGGCCGGAGATCGGTTCGGCGACATCTCCTATCTATGGTCCCTCGAGTTCCGGACAGCCCTGCGAGCCCCTTTCCGGGGTAAAAGCGTCTTTCTTTTTCTAGCCATTGTTTTCACAGTCCTGGGTATCATCGTGGGACCTGCATCGGCAACGGCAATGGCTCCCAACCTTCAGGACTGGCCCGCTGGACAGATAACCGTCCCGCTGAACGTTTCCAGTGATAGACTGTTCCCATTGGTTCTCGATCAAAACTCAATGCCGAACATGCAGTGCACGCAGCTGTGGTTGGATTGCACACCCAACAGGACATGGTCCTCGTTGACCACAAACCTCTTCTCCTTCTGGGGTCAGGTGGATTTTGGGAATTACCAGGGTATGCCTGAGCTGGTCGGTCTGCCTGCCAGTCGCACAGCTCGAACATTACGCACACGATTTCGGGGACCGTTCAACCTATTCCAGCCACAGTATACTTCAGTCACAGTCCAGCCAGTCTGGGCAGCTAACAAAGTGAACGGCATCCGACTACTATGGTTTGCCAATAATCATGTGGAATGCCATCGAGGACATGGGTTCTGCATCTACAAAGACATTACATGGGCGATTCCGGTTCTTCAGCCCGTTGTGCGAACCTCGTGCGAACTTGTTCAGAACATTGACGAGGTTCATTTTCCAAGTATGGCCGAGAACCTCAATGTACAAGCAGGAGATAATCAAGGGGGAATTTCTCCTGGTCCGCTCTCGCCGCAGCATTTTCAACTGGTTGAAGTCGGTAACCATCCAGCCAGCCAAATATCTGCCGGAGCCCTTCTACAACTATCTAAGCCCGAAAATGGCACCGACCCAGTCGTGTATGCATGCAGCATCCAGGCTGATTGGGCGAGATCAAGTGTTGCCACTACCTTTTTAGGCTCGCCATTCGTGGTCGATGGCTACCCTGCCTCGTTTTTCGAGCCAAACGCAGAAGGTAGCACCTATTCTGGCACCCGGATCAAAATCGATCCATCGTGGAGTTCAGCATTGAATCCAGTGGTTGACGGCGTCGAGAATCAAACCGTTTTCGACATGTTCTACTCGGCTGGGTCTGTGCCGGCTACAAGGGAGCACACGCAAGCGAAGATTGAGGCGATTCTGGCTGTGCTTGTGGCTGAAGGCATGGCTTGGATTGGGTCAGAAGCAGATATCGGCACTGGGATTCCCGAGCAGAACCTGGCTTCGATGTCGTGGGGTAACCTTTCTAAGCTCGAGTCTGTCCCCGACGCGCACAAGTTCGCCTTTGTCACGTCCATTCTCGGCTATGGCTATGGATTGCGCTCTGCTGAGGCCCTCTCGATCGGTCGTTTGTTGTCTTTACTGTCTCTGGGCCTGTATTGCGCAGTCGTCTCAACATATTTGATCGTGGAGTTAGCAAGGACAAGGCAAAGCACACGGCTCTGGGACGGTATGCTTCAGATGGTGTCGCTTGCGTTGCGGAGTTCAACCGCTCAGCCCAACCTGGCGAGAGCAGGAGATTTGAAGGGAAGATCCCTCTTAAGAAGAACTGTGAGGATAATTGTGCACAACGGCTATGCTGGAATGGTGGTGGAGGAAAATCAAGGACCGGGGGAAATGCGCAAATGAATGGATGATGAATGAATGACCTATGTACATATTGTGTACGCTTAGCACATGAGATTTTATATCTAAAATATCTGTATAGCATAAAGAGAGACATAAAGAGAGAGACCCCTATCATATCTTAGTCCTTTCAAGCTCAGGCGATTGACTCGTCTCACCCAATCTCAACTCCGGATAAGCAACTTTGTGGAGAAAACTCTGAGATGCGCTACTGTGCGTGGAACCATTCAAAATGCCGCAATTGCCAAGTGATGCTAGTTCCCCATTTATTGATCCATGGTCTTGAGACAGATGAGAGACCCTTGATATCTTTCCCCCAAAGAGTTTCTAACCATGTGCCCTTCGCCCTTCGTTCATCCCCTTGCATATTTTGACATGTTTCCCCCTCCACCCCTTTTGTCGGGTCGTTCAAGTATGGTAAGGCGGTTCTCGATCCCGGAGCCTGTGGCTGCTGCGGCGAACCGCAAAAAAGTGAAGTTATCGTCGTGACAATCTGCAAAAAAAGTGAGGCAGAAATGAAAAGTAAAATCGAACCCTTTTGTTTGCATGTTTGCTCAACTATTTACCTGTTCAAAACTCTCTTCTCCTCCCTCTCTCTGTCTCTCGATCCTATCTCTCTACATAATATGAAGCAAAAGTCCATGACCATGCGGTACAGCAGAAAATCCCTTGTTTATGCGGTCGGTGCCTTGACACTCCTCCTCTATACTCTGCACCTGTGGGATGTCTTCTCGTCGCCACGCGCCTTGCCGCCCATGCCAGGCACGTTTCAATACTTTTCAGAAATCAATTTCGAATACCATACGCACAGCTTCGGGGCCATCAGCCACTGTGACTCGAGATTTGCGCCGTCCCAGCCCCCGGGCATCGAGGAGACCAAGAGGTCGCTTTTCGGGCTGATGGAGTCGTACGCCGCGACCATGAGGCAGCTTCAGGCCGAGACGTGGATCGCCCACGGGACCTTGCTGGGGTGGTTCTGGAACCAAAAGTTTCTGCCCTGGGACAACGACATCGACGTGCAGATGTCGATAGAGACTCTGGCTGGATTGGCTGTTGCACACAACATGACCGAGTACCTCTACCCGGTGGCCGGGGAGGACAGGCCCAGGACATACCTTCTCGACATCAACCCACATTATGCCATCGCGTCGACGCAGGACGTGGCCAACAAAATCGACGGTCGCTGGATCGACACCACGAATGGCAAGTCCATCGACATCACGGCCATCCATGTCAGCTCGGGCAAGACGGACCATACTCCGTTCGACCAGGGGATTTTCTTCTCCAAAGATGGCCATGGATACCTGGTATGTACAACGACCACATCCACTGCTCCTCCCCCCTCCCCCTCTCTGGCGGGGCTCCAGGCCGCTCACCTTCTCTCTCTTCCCCTCCCCTCAGCTTCCCCCGGAAGTCCCATCTGCGGGTTTGAAATGGACGAATCCGGAGCTGACGGCATTGAGCCACAGAGGGAAGATCTATACCCGCTACAAGATACGACATTTGAAGGAATTGTCGTCAAAGTCCCGCGTGACCCGGCCAAGATCCTGGCCAAAGAGTATGGCAAGAAGTCCCTGACACAAACCCGCTTCCACTGGTATGATACCATCTCGTCGCTGTTTCTGTGCTCCTCGGCAGTTTCTGATATTGACTCACAGGCATCGGTTCAATCAAGTTTTGAAACTGTGGGAAGCAGAGTAGGGTCGGGGTTGTATGTTTTTTTTGTTTGGGGGGGGGGGGGGGGGGGGGGG